GTGTTTTGGGAATTTCCAGGTGTATTTGGGGGGGTCCCAGCTGTATTTTGGGGTGCAGGAGAAGCCAGAGCCAGCTCAGGTGTATTTTGGGGGGGGGGTGTCCCAGGTGAGTTTTGGGTTGTACCAAGTGTATTTTGGGGGGTCCCAGGCAGGGTTTGGGTGGCACCAATGTCCTTTGGTGAATCCCAGGTGAGCTTTGATGTATCCCAGGTACGTTTTGAGAACTCCCAGGTGTATTTGGAGGGTCCCAGGTGAGTTTTGGGTTGCACCAAGTATATTTTGGGGGGTCCCAGGCAGGGTTTGGTTGGTACCAATGTCCTTCAGCGTGTCCCAGCTGTGCTTTGGGAATTCCCGGGTCCCCGCAGCCGCTCTCCTCTGATGAGGCCGTTGGGGGGGGTCTCCCCGGTGCCCCCCCATCACTGCTGGATGGCAGCCAGCCCATCCCTCATCTTCCTGGCCATGAGGGGCACGAGGCGCAGGTGCTGGTCCCCGCAGGAGGCCAGGCAGGCGTCCAGCTGCCCCCTCACCTTGGGCTCCGAGCCCCCCGAGTCCAGCGCGTCCTTCGCCTGGTCCCGGCACTGCAGGGAGCAGCGGCTCAGCCGGTCCTGGGGGGGGGGAAAACAGGGATTTGGGGGGGGTCATGGGCTGCATGGGGGGTGCTGAGGGGCACACGGGGTGTTGGGGAGCACAGGAAATGCACTGGATGGAGGGCACGGGGTACATCTAAGGGGCAGAGGACACGTGGGGGCACAGGGAATGTTGGGGGATGCAGGAGATACAGTGGGGGGCACTGGGTGTGTTGGGGGGCACTGGGTGTTTTGGGGGGCGGAGGAGATGCACTGGGGGGCAGAGGGCATATTTAGGGGGCACAGGACATGCAGTGAGGGGGTGCAGAGATTTGAGGGGGGGGTCAGGCCCTGCACAGGGTGTGGGGGTGGGCAGGGCTGGTTCAGGGTGTGCTGGGGGGGGGGAAATGTCTCACCTGGAAGTGCTCGAGCTCGGCGGTGACGATGGCCTGGGCCTGGGCCAGGGGCGCGTGGCAGCGCTCGATGCAGCGCTGGACCTCCTGCATGGAGGCTGAGCCGTCCTCACAGCACCGGGCACTGCACCGGAACATGGCACCCTGGGCACGGGGGGACAGGGGTGAGGGGGGACACCCCCTGGGACGGGGGGGAGTTCATGGGGGCACCCCCGGGGACGTGGAGGGGAGGGGGGTTAATGGGGGGCACCCCCAGGGGTGTGGAGGGGACGGGGGGGGTTAGTGGGGTCATCCAGAGGGGCATGGCAGGCAGGGGGGCATGTCGGGGGGGGTCAGCGTGGGGAACACCCCCCACGCTCTGCGGGAGACCCCAGGAGGAGCCCCCCGAGCCCTGAGCCTGCAGCTGCCCTGGGAATGGGGGGGACGGGGCGTGCGGGGGGCACAGGGCATGTGTAGGGGACACACGGTGTGTGTGGGGACAGAAAAGGGGACACACGGTGTGTGTGGGGACAGAGGAGAAGCACTGGGGGGGCACAAAGTCCCGGCGGGTTCACAGGGCTGGTCCCGGCTCACACGTGGGGCTGGGGGGGGGGCGGCGGCCCCTGCGCGGTCCCGGAGCCCCCCGGGCCCGTCCCCCCCGGTCCCCCCCGGTGCCCCCGGCCCGGTACCTGCATGGCGCGGATCCGCTCCCGCTCCAGCCCCTGCACCGCGCTCTCCACGGCCGCCTGGACCCGGCCCTGCGCCGCCTCCGCCTCCGCCATCCCCGCCCGGCACCGCGGCCTCGGGCCCGCCCCGAACGGGGCCGGGCTGGGCCGGAGCGAGCGGGGGGCCGGGAACCATCGGGGGGGTCGCGGGGGACGGGAACCATCGGGGGGTATCCCAGGGAATCGGGGAATTCCCGACCCCTGCTGCTCCCCAAAAAGGGGGGGGGGGGGGGGGCAAAGCGGGGGGGGCACCCCGGGGGGGCGGGGGGGGGGGGGGAGGGGGGGATACAACCCCCCCCGTGCTCCGATGTCCACCCCCCAAAACCGGGGGGCTCGTGCCGGGGGCAGTGCCAACCCTCCTCGCTGCAATGCCCACCCCCCAAAAAACGGGGGGGCCGAGCCGGGTCCCCCTGGGGGTCCCAGGGGGGCAATGCACCCCCCCCCCACGTGCTGCAATGAGCGGGGTCACCCCCCGTGACTTTAATCCAGAACAAGGATTAAGGTCATTCCCCCCCCCCAAACTGGCCATGGAGGAAAAGCAACACCCCAAATTCGCTGTGTTCCCCCCCCCAAACACATCCCTGACACTGCTGGGGGGGGTCAGGGATGAGACCCCGCAGCCCCCCAGATTTTCTGGCTCACCCTCCCCCAAACACATCCCCCACGCTGCTGGGAGGGGTGGGGATGTGCCCCCCCAGGCCCCCAAATTCTGCAGATCCACCCCTTCCTCACTCTTGGCTTCATGATTTGGGATAAAAACATGGGAAAAGGGGGCTGAGCCCATCACTGGAGCATCAGTCCTGCACCTCCCCACCCTGTCACAGGACCCAGCACCTCCTTCACAAATATCCCCCCAAAAAAGCCCCAAACCACGAGTTTTCTGAAAAAAAGTGTCTTTTATATCACTTAAATAACTCTAATCCAGGTATTAGGAGGGGGGGGAAAAAAAAGACCAGGCAATCACAAGAACATATTTATAGGAATCAAAATTAATTTAAACCACACAAAATAAATTAAAACATTAAATATTAACTTTCAGTGCAACATATACAGAAGACATGAGAGTAACCATGACTTAAAAAAAAACAAAAATAACCCAAAACCAGAGGAAAAAGCGCCGGGTTGGTTATGAGAAGGACTACGGGGAGGATTAAGGCCGTGCTGGAGGTTGGAGCTCCAGCCCGAGGAGGTTTCCTAGGATTAAGGTTCATTTTATTATTAATAAAAAGCTTGTATTTGTCCCCAAAATGAGCATGGGCCAAGTGGCTGCCGAGGTTCTGTCTCTGTAGAAAAATAAAGCCCCATCCTGCCGGGGTTCTGGTTTAAAAACAATCATCCAGGAGGCAAAAACCAGGGAAAACAACCCAAAACCAAAGGCAAAGCCCACTGGCACAAGGCCAGGGCTCGGCCCTGTGGCTCTGCTGGTGCTGCTGAGCACATTCCTGCCTTGCTTCTTCCGTGGCGGTGGGAAAATGAGGAAAAAGGGGGAAAACATCCCAGAAAATAGACCGAAAGCAGAGGAGAGGTGCTGTGCCATTCCCGGGGTCCGGGGGGGTCCTGGCTCCGTCACACACCTGTGGGGAAGGAGGGGGCAGCGGGTTATACCCCGGGGGTGCTGGTGGTTGTGGTCCCACCGTGGTGCCTCCCGGGCACCTGTGTTGGCATGGCAGCAAGTGCCACCCCTCAGGTGTCCCCTGTCCCTCACCTGTCTCGGCAGGAGGTGCCACCCCTCAGGTGCCCCCTGTGCCCTCCCTGTCCCGGCAGGAAGGTCCCCCCAGCCCTCACCTGTCTCGGCGTGGCAGCAGGAGGTGCCCCCCTTGAGGAGCCCCCCTGGTTTCTCCTGGCCCCCTCCGGGCTCCCGGCACCACGGGCATCGCTTCCGCAGGCGGCAGCAGCTGGAAGGGAGCGGGGAGGGGGTGGTCAGGGGGTCCCAGGCCCCTCCCCGGGATGTATCCAGGGGGTGCTGGATGCCCCGGGGTGCCCCCGGCCCCGGGTACTCACTGGATGAGGACACAGACAGAGATGAGCAGCACCGAGGCCACCACGGCCACCACGAGCAGGGCCGTGATCGTCTGTTTCTTCTGGTTGGCGGCCACCACGGCCAGGAGGTCGGCGTGTTCACAGCGTGTCCCCACGTACCCAGAGTGGCACCTGCACCGGGAACGGGGACAGCGGAGTCACCCCGGGACAGGGGACACAGGGGAGGGACAGAGGAGTCACCCTGGGATAGGGGACACAGAGGAGGGACAGCAGAGTCAACCCAGGAAAGGGGACACAGAGGAGGGACAGCAGAGTCACCCCGGGACAGGGGACACAGAGGAGGGACAGCAGAGTCACCCCGGGACAGGGGACACAGGGGAGGGACAGAGGAGTCACTCCGGGACAGGGGACACAGGGGAGGGACAGCAGAGACAGCCCAGGATAGGGCACACACAGGAGGGACATGGGAGTCAGCCCCAGGGACAAATGGGAGGGACATGGGAGTCAGCCCTGGGAAAAGGGATACACAGGAAGGACAGGGGAGTCACCCTGGGAACAAGGACACGGGGATGGACAGCAGAGGCAGCCCCAGGACCCGCTGGCAGCCAGCAAAGCCAGGCTCGACCTGGCTCTTTGGGGATCCCCAGGGCACAGACGAGGGAAGAGCCCAAGGAAGCCCCAGGAGCTGCATCCCAGAGGTTTCCCAGCACTCACACACACGCTGGTTTGTCCTCCTGGACCAGGAACCGGCAGGTGCCGTGGAAGCAGAACTGGCTGTGGGAGTCAGGACAGTCGTTGAAGTGGGACCTCACGGCCGCTGCCACCGGTGGGCCTGGAGCTGGGAGCAAAAACAAGGACAAAACAGCATTTTTAGGGAATTTCCCAAGCCCAACACCTACCCAGCTCTGTTTTGGGGCTGGATGGCTTTATTTTGGGATCAGCACGTGGGATACAGTCCAGTGACCACCCAAGGGAGCCCAGACGGGTCCTGCTTAAACCAGCAGCAAAAATAATCCTGCAGGAATTTCCTAAAGAGCTTAAAATGGAGGAGGAGAGAGTTAAAGAACGTCGGAGCCGCTGCAGCTCTGCCCGAGCCGGTGGCTTTGCCGGGATCCTGTTTTCCATTACATCCCACGCTGGTTTGAATTATAGACATGGGAAACAAATATCCTGCACTGGGATTATCCCGGGAATAAAGCACATCCGATCGCTGTCGTTTCAAAGCCACCTCAAGTTCCTGTGCCGTGGATTTATGGCAGGCCAGGGTAATTAAAGCCATGGATGCGGGAATGCTTCCGGGTCCTCGGGGAGCCCAGGCAAGGAACCACGGAGCGGGATGGCTCCCACAGGGATATTCCATATCCCTGACCCCGGCACTGGTGGAGGTTTGGAGGTGTCAGAGCTAGAGCAGCATCCGTAGGGAGCCAGGAGATGGGATTTGGAGTTCACAGTGGGAATCGCTGCCAAAATCAGCACCTCGCCAGGAAAACCCCGACACCTCCATCCCCAGGGATGGAATATCCCAGGAGAGCCCAGATTCCTCCTTCTGGCTGGAATATCTTTACAAAACGACCCCTTTTTAGGGGTTTAACCCACAAATCCAAGCCTGTGCCCGCTGTGCCCCCCCATCCCGGATTCCAAGCCCCCCATGCCGGGCTCGGAGCCCCCTGGAATTGCTGAGGATGGATCAGCAGGGCTGGAAGAGGCAGCACGTCCCTTTGTCCCTGTGGTGCATCCCTGGATCCAGCACAGTTCCCGGGGTGTCCTGGCTCCTGTTCAGCCTCGGCGTTCCCAGCTGTTGCCCACATTGCAGCCAACTCCTCCTCCTCCCACCCCTGCAGTGTCCCCTCGGATCAGCTCCCACCCTCCAGCCTCTGGGATGGGCACAAATCCATTGGGAAAGGGGCTGCCAGCATCCTCAGGATGCCACTGCCAACCCCATCACGGGGTTTTGCTCCCAAACCTCCCAGCACTGCTTCCCAAATAATGCTGTTGAACCATCCCATTATTCAGCGCCAAAAGGAGATTTGCCAGCCCAAAATGAGATTTCCCAGCCCCAAAAGGAGATTGGGAACACATCCACAGGGAAAGGGGGTGCCAGCATCCTCAGGGTGCCTTCCCTGCCACAGAGTTTTACTTCAAAGCCTCCCAGCACCGTTCCCTTTAACGCTTCCCAAGTGATGCCGTTGAACCATCCCATTTTCCAGTCCCAAAAGGAGGTTTCCCAGCCCCAAAGGGAGGTTGGGCACACATCCGTCAGCAAAAGGGCTGCCAGCACCCTCAGGGTAGCGCCACAGGGTTTTGCTCCAAAGCCTCCTGGCACCACTTTCCCAAATGACACCATTGAACTATCCCATTTTCCAGCCCCAAAGGAAGTTTTCCTGCCTCAAAGGGAGACTTTCCCAGCCCCAAAAGGAAAGGGTTTCCCAGCCCCAAAGGGAGCATTTCCAGCCCCAAATGTCCCAGCCCTGCCTGCAGTCAGCCCTTCCCGAGGCTGGCACATCCCATCGGAGCTGTGCCGGGAGCAAAGGGCCCTGGGCTGGCACAGCCCATTGTGCCACTTCCATGAATGAGCCAATTTATCCTCCCGGTGCCGCCAGGACCGTCAGGCACCAGCAGCTTCCCGGTGGGACACACTTCCGAGTGGTCACGCAGCAGGACTTGGAGGAATTTCCACCCCCCAAAAGCAAGGTGCACGGACAACAGCCACTGCAGAGCCCAGTTTTTCCTTAGGGATAAAGTCAGGATCCCACCCAGGGCCCCGTTATCCCGCAGGGAGGAGGGTGGGATGCCAGAGCACCCCTGTGGCTGATCCCAGGCAGGCTGGAAACACGGACACCCCGCAGTTCCCACGGGCACACTCACCGTTCCGGGCGGCCGTGGTGTTCTCCAGCGCGTGGCACGCGGCCAGCAGGACACCTGTGGGAAGGGGCAGAGACGGGGATCAGCCACGCTGCGACCCCCCAGAAGCTGGGAGGGTTCACCAAAATCACTCCAAGAGTTTTAAGGAGAACACAGGAATTCCCTCCTTCCAGAAGGAGGGGCTGCAGGGAGGGAAGGCTTGGAATGACCCCCCCGAGCTGCACCCTCAGGGGGGATGGAGCAGCCCCCCCCCCGGCTCTGAGCCTGCCTGGGCTGTGGAACCAGCAGCAGCCCCTTCCCTGGATTTGACCCAATTTCCTGCATGGATTTAATCGAACGGCGCAGAAAGGCGAGACAGACCCTCGGGCTTCACATCCAGCAAATCCCAGCGGCCCTGGAGCTTCAGGGATCACTGGAGCTTCAGGGATCAGCCATGGCTTCCCTGCTTCTGTTGGAGACCTCACAGATTTTCTTCCCACAGAAATTTAATCAGGTTTTCCCATTTTTTTTGGCTCAGTGCTGGACAATGCTCCGTCCTCCAGCCCCGATCCGGGTTGTCCCGACATTCTGCCCTCCACTCCAGGTGTTATGTGGGAAACGGCTCATCCCTGTGCCATGGGGTGGCTGTACCACTCCCTCCAGAGTTCTGGCTTGCCTGTTCTCCTGCCGGGATCCCTCTCGGCTCCAGCAGTGTCTCTTCCCAACGTCTCTTCCCTGCCAGGTGTAACACCTGCCCCTGCAAAGCCCGGCTGAGGGGGAAGCCCAGCTTGCCCCGTGTGACCACCTTGTCCCTGGTGCCAGTCCTTGGCAGCAGTTTTCCATCCCCAATGGCAGCCGAGGGCTCCAGTGGCTCCCCATGGACACCTCATGGACACAGTGGAATCCACCCCCTCCGTCTGACTGGCCCCTGGACCGGGGCTGCCTCCTCCAGCCACCCCAGGAGCCGCTCTCGCTTGGTTTTCCAGTCCCATCCCATCCCGTTCTCTGGGGACGTTTGGGAAGCTCTCCTTGCCATCACCTCCTCTGCCAGCCGAGCCCCCTGAAGTCACCCTCCTGGCATGAGCCCCCAGCTCACCAAGGGACTCCCAAGCCTTCCCAATGGATAGATACAGATCCAACAACTCCATCCCACTAATTCCCAGCCTCCGGTTCTCCCTCTCACTAATTCCCAGCCCCCCCCCAGCACAGGGCTCAGCTCCTCTCGCCTCCGTTATTGCTGGGGTCTGTTCCCTGCTCCAAGTTTTCCCTCCTCATCCGCTTGGCTCCAATTTCCCCTCAGCTCCAGCCCAGCCCTTGGAAGCCTTTAGGTGCATGTACGCTGTGCTGGAGGGGGTTTTCCCTTTCTCCACAATATTCCAAGTGGATGCTCCGATCTGCTGGCTCGATGCATTTTATCCAGGGCTCCTCTCCCCATGGAGATTTGGATCTGATCCCACAGGAGCCGCTGCTCCTGGATGGGGGATTACGGTGCCCAGACAGGTGGGAAACCTGCAGATCAGCCCCCCGAGGTGGGCAACCATCGGGGTTGGAGAAATCTGGAGCCACAGGAACGGGAAGCAGCAGGAGCAGAGGGGCCACGGGAGCCCCTGGATGAGCTGAGGGGTGTCACCGACACCCTCAAGGGATGCTCAGACCCCCCGAGGGATCCGGAGACGCGGTGGCCACGCCGGAGCCAAAGCAGCAGCTCCAAGAGCTGGAGCGGAGCCAATTCCAGCCACTTTCCCGAATCCAAGCGCTGCCAAGCGTCTCTTTCCCACCGGGATAGAACAACCCTTGCCCCGGCGAGGAGCCCCGGAGCTGTGGGTGACACAGGCGGGGACACCACGAACTCCTCGAGGACAGCGGGACAAACCCAACCGCGGTCCGAACATCTGCACCGGGACAAACATCTGCACCGGGACAAACATCTGCACCGGGATCCGTCCCGGAGCCGCAGATCCCACGAGGGGCACCCGCGACCCGGCTCCGCGTTCTCCCACATCCACGCGCATCCCACTTCCAGCCTGGGAAGCGCCTCCGTCCCATCCGCAGCATCCTGGAGAACCCCCGCTTCCCACTGCTCCCCCTTTCCCCGGCAACCACCCCCCCTGCTCTAATCAGCCCCCAGCTCTAATTAACCGCCCTAATTAGCGGCCGGGGCCGTACTCACGCGTCGCGGCGAAGGCGCCTTCCCACAGGGAACGAACTTCGGGAGCGACCGCCCGGGGGATTTTATGGGATTTCACGGCATTCGCGCACCAAACAACCACAAACCACCCCCAGAACCCCCGAACCCTCCAGAACCCGCCGGTGCGGAGGGGGCTGCGGGCGTTCCCCCCCCCGCTCCCCTCGGCGGGGTCCGAGCGGGGCAGGCGGGGCGCGGACCCCCCGGGCCGGAGCCCCCCGAGCCCCCCG